ATCAACAACCAATCAAATTAAGAGAATTAATTCTAAACTTTATCTATGAATGACACCTAAGAAAAAATCACTAAAGTGACTTCTCATTTAACATATAGTGGGATATACGATAAAATCAAATATTTAATTTTCTTAAAAAAAAAATTTTAAATAGAAAAATCTAAAAATCTCAAGTGCCCAGCTGCGCAGCCGATCTCTTGTTGTAATGTGTCTCTTTGAATAACCCGTGAGATGAAAGTATGCTTAGGTATTCTTTGCTTGACCATAATATAGATAGCCATGGAACAGGAGGAGCTGGATGAAAAGCGGCCCAAGTTTTTGAATTCTAGAATTTCCCTGGAGTATCATCAATACCATTCTGCCACAAAAACTCATCTTGCAATGTATAGGAAGGTGATGGAGGCTCACAAGTTAAAATACTCTTGAGAAGGCGCAAGTGTCTTCCGCGAGGTAACAGCCAACCTCCGTTGGAAGAAGCTCCAGCCATGCTTATTCTCGTGACCATGAGACCAATTGAGCTTGTAAGTTCTAACAGGGAACCATGAGAAGTCCAGTTATCAAACTAAAACAAGGCTTGATCCCCTATGCCTTTTAAATTTATGGTGCTTATTTGTTGGGATTCTTTTCAGTTTAGCCTAAAATTTTACACCTACAAGTATAATGGTGCTTTAAACTCTTGTTTTACTGCTTTTCGCCTACATTTTAAAGCATTGTATATGTATCTATACTATTAAAAGAGAAAGAATTTAAATAAATCTACTTATAAAAATTGTTTGGACCCTTTCATTAGACTCACCTTTTTTTATCTTTCCTAATATTTTTCCAACAGTACTATGCAATAATATTATATCAAATAATTTACCTTATATTTTTCTAACAATACATTAGTCATTATACTTATTTACTATACATTACTCTTATTATTCAATATTCTTATTTCTTCACAATACTTTACTATAACCTTATAATATATTATTCTCTTGTAAACATGTCTCATTAATTTTATAATACATGACTGATTTCACCAATTATACAAAAACTATATCATTTGTTTGAGTCACCAAGTATGCAACCGTACACTCCATCCTTTCCATTGATTAGTTTTCATAGCTGGTGTTTAATAAATGGAGAATATAAAATATATTGAACATCCACCTTCACGACCAATAGGTTTAAAACCAAATTTAATTATTTTTAGAGTAAACCTATTTATAACATAGTATATGGTAATTATACACAAATCGGTTTATTATCATAGTATTCTAATGTTTGGAGATATTTATACAAACAAGTTATAAAATTAATGATTTTTTATTCTAGAGAAAATATTTTAAACCTTTTGTTTATAAATATATTTAGACTCGTGAAAGATCGTAACTTATACTTTCAATATTTTTGTGAATGATCTAATTTCTATGTATATCCAGTGTGGTAATTTCTAATTTTCAGGTATGTAGCAGGTCTAGGTAGGTTTAGATATTTAGGACCAGAAGTACTAATAAACCCGAAAAATATTCGAATCTCAAAAATTTACTTCAAATCACAAATAAATACTCAAAATATATTGAAATATCTGAAAATCCTAAATTTTACCTAATCTGACTCGAAAAAAAAAATATCCAAAATATATATATTATGTGGAAATTTTATCCGATCGGGTCTCAGGTATGATCTAGACTAGAATCGCTTTCTGCGGATTTTTAAAAATAGACAGTATGTACTTTTTCATGTTATCTAAACCAAACCCATATTTTCGGGTCAGTTACCGTCGTGTTTTTCGATCCGGGTAAAATGCCAAGACCTAAAGAAAATTACATTAAAAATGTACATACAAAATTTCAAATAAACTAATTTTTAAATTATATAATTTTTCAAAAAAATCTATTTTGATATAATACGATTAACATAGAAATGTACATCAATTCCAAAATACTAATTCATATCAAAATTTCTTTATAGTCTAACAAAAACCCGCGTTTAAAAAACACGGGTCAAAATCTAGTAGTCTTTAATATTTAATAAAACGTTGCACTGATCACGTTCACATTAGCGGAGCCACGTGTAAAAAGAGGGGGGGGCAATGAACCCAACAAAATTGAAAAAAATTAATGTACCGTAAAGCCCAATTTATATTATGACCCCACTCACAATTTTTTTTTGCCCCCATACTTTAAACCCATTTACACAATTACAGATCAGAAAATAATAATGTATTCCAGCCCACTTAGTATTTTATGAATTATCTTTCAAAGCCTAATAATTAGCAAAACCTAAAATTATCACATCATCTCTCTCGTTGGAATTTCTGCGTCTTCCAACTTTCATATTTTTTTGTCAAACAAACGAGATTCCTTTATCAATTACTTGGTGAGTCATGAATCTAGTCAAATTTTAAAGTATTTGTTTTTCTTTTATTCTATGTTTGATGTAAACTAATAACATAACACTTTTGTTTTCAGATAAATAAATGGAAAAAATTCTTAAAAGACCTTTCCCACCAACGACTAAAGAAAATTTGGACGATTTACCATGGGATCCTGCTAAAAGGGAAAAAATCAATGCATATGATTCAAATCAAATAGATGAGGTACGACGCAAGTATCTAGCTAGAGGTCCTTGTAAACCGTAGGGTCATAATTTTCCGAAAAAGATGATTTCAAATTCTTTGAGACGGTTTAGTCCTGCTTGGTTTGATCAGTATGGTAATTAGCTTGAGTACAGCGTAACGACCGATAGAGCTTATTGTTTGTGTTGTTACTTGTTTCGAGATGACATACATAAGCAAGGTGGAAATGATAAGTTTGTGACTGAAGGGTTTTCTAGTTGGAATAAGTCTGAGAGATTAGCTTCTCATGTGGGTGGTATGAATAGCTTTCACAATACTGCTGTTAAGATGTGTGATTCTTTGATGAATCAAAAACATTCCATTGCCCAAGCTTTTTATAAGCATGATGATGTCGTGAAAAACGAATATCGTCTTCGGTTGAATGCTTCAGTTGATGCTTCTAGATATTTGTTGCGACAAGGAATATCTTTTCGTGCTCATGATGAATCAGAAGATGCTGGTAATAAAGGAAATTTTCTGGAACTTATAAGATACACCGCAGACCAGAACGAAGCGGTAAGTAAGGTTGTTTTGGAGAATGCTCCAAAAAATAACCAAATGACTTCTCCACCGATTCAGAAAGACATCGTGCATTGTTTTGCTGAAGAAGTTGTGAAATCTATTATTGAAGAAGTTGATCATGGTGTTTTTGGTCTATTGGTGGATGAATCTGCTGATATTTCTCACAAGGAACAAATGGCTGTTGTGTTACGCTTTGTCGATAAGAATGGAATAATCAAAGAAAGATTTATTGGGGTGGTTCATGTAAAAGAGACTTCTTCTTTGACACTTAAGCTAGCTATTGATGGTTTGTTTGCTAAGTATGGCTTGAGCATGAAAAATGTAAGGGGCCAAGGTTATGATGGAGCGAGTAATATGAAAGGTGAATTCAGTGGTCTGCGGTCTTTGGTTTTAAGGGAAAACAGTTCAAGCTATTATGTTCATTGCTTTGCTCATCAGCTTCAGTTGGTAGTAGTGGCAGTCGCGAAGAAACATTTTGAAGTGGTGATTTTTTTGATAAGATTTCTACATTATTGAATGTAGTTTGGGCTTCTTGCAAACGACAAGATGAGCTTAAAGAAAGATACCGTAAGGAAATCGAGAAAGGAATTAGCAGTGGTGAAATTAGCACTGGAAAAGGGCAGAATCAAGAGCGTTCTCTTCCAAGGCCATCAAATACTCGCTGGGGTTCTCATCATAAGACACTAGTGCGTCTGGTTGAGTTGTTTTCAATTGTTATTGAGGTGCTTGAATATATCCAGAATGAAGGTCTTGATGACTCAAAGAAAAGACAAGCATATGGTGTTATTAAGTACTTGTGTACTTTTGATTTTGTCTTCTATATGCAGTTGATGCTGCTTATTTTGGGACTAACAGAAAATTTATCCATGGCTTTGCAACAAAAAAAAACAAGACATTCTGAATGGTGTTTCATTGGTCCAATCAACTAAGCGAGCACTGCAGAAACTTAGAGATGATGGATGGGACTCTCTGATGGTTAGAGTTTCTTCGTTTTGTAAGAAACATGATATTGAAATGATCATGATGGAAGACAATTTTGTTGGTTCTGGGATAGGACGAAAGAAAAGCAACATAACCAATTTACATCATTATAATATCAGTTGCTTCAATGTTGTTCTGGATCTGCAGCTGCAAAAGTTCAATGATCGTTTTACTGAGGTAAACATCCAACTCCTTATTTGTATGGCTTCTTTAAGTCCTACAAAATCGTTCAAGTTGTTTGACAAAGAGAAGTTGTTAAAGTTGGTTGAGTTCTATCCAGATGATTTTAGCTTTTTTGAGCGTTCTTCTCTTGAACAGCAACTTGACATCTACATTGATAATATAAGAGAAGATGGCCGATTTAATAACTTGGAGAGTCTTGGAGATCTTTCTCGCTTGATGGTTGAAACACAGAAACATCTCGCACATCCTCTAGTTTACAGGCTTTTGAAGTTAGCACTAACTTTGCCAGTTGCCTGCTACGGCAACTGTTGAGAGATGTTTTTCTACCATGAAGTTTGTGAAGACGGCTTCGCGCAACTGAATTGGAGATCAATTTTTAAGTGATTGTCTTGTTTGCTTTATTGAAAAGGATTTGTTTGCATCAGTGACAAATGAAAAAAGCATAAATCATATACTATGGTGTTAAACATATAATAAAAAAAAGCATAAATCATATACATACAAGAAGCTTCCAAAAATGCAAAATTGTTGGTTTACGTAAATCATTAATAAAGCCGATACAAGATAAAACAAACTACAAAGCAAACGAAACACATAATATAACAAACATATTTCACTCTACGTAATAGTTAATGTTATATATATCTATATAGATATTCATAAAAAAAGCTAGAACTTGTTATATTATTATTCGATAACTGGATTATGATTAATTGTTCCTGGGAGGATGATGCTTAGGCTTGGCTCTCCAATAATCAGCAGTGAAAGGAATGAGTCCATCCTCTTCAACACTTTTGCTTGGTTTTCTCTCCGTCTCTCTCTTTCCCTTCTTCATCGTTGTTTCTTTATCTGCTTCTCCACTACTTGTCATCATCAGTTTTCTTCCTCGTATCCCCACATCGTCATTTCCGATCACCTGCACTTATCAGCGGTTTAGTCAATATTTTTTTGTTTATAGTAAAAAACCGGAATGTTTGCATCCCATAATCCATATAGCAAGAAAACAAAACAAAGATTATACAGAATACATGACGTAATCACTGAAGAATTTATGTAAGACTATTAACTGCAGAACTATGAAGTTGTGATTTTTTTTTGTTTTAAAAGAAAAATAATTTAATACAAATCAAACGCAAAAATGTATGATTGATCCAAGAATCATATATAATATATACCTTACGAGTTGAAACGACATCATGGCTTAGTTCTTGATTCACATCTTCTACTGATGAACAAAACGAGGAACAAACAAGTTGATTATATTATATGTTAACATTCGAGTAGTGATTCTAATATATAAGAGTAAAAGAGTGATCTCATGCATGCATCATGTATCAACTATGCATGCAAGCTTTTGAAATAATCGTTTCACTAGGAAAAGATAAGTTAGTATATATCACGAACCACAAACACTATAATGTATAAACCTTCGTTAGTCATTCTCATTTTTACCATGCAATAGTTTTAAACGGAAAATTGCGTGCTTTAGAATTAATAGTTTGTAGAAGCTTTTGTTTACCAAATATGTGAATATCATAAAACTATGAAAGAGTTTGTAATGTTACAAAAAGTTAAGGCAAATAATGATCAGCCTTGGCTTGTCGAAGCTTTCTTTTATAAAATAAAAACAGAAGTTTGTCTCTGATTACAAAAAAAAATTGAAAATGACTATACACGAAATTAGCATATTATAAATTTTAAAGTTTACGTGCTTCCAATTGTTATGATCCTGTCAAGATATGAGGTAAGGCTTTACAAGATTTTAAAGAAGAGAGTGAGAGAGACATACCATGAAGTGAATATCGAAAGGACATGCATAAGAAAAGAATGATCAACACACATATAATCTTTGATAATGTAGTCATGACTCTTCTTGATTCTCCTTGATCACCTCACCCCAAACTTTATATCTTCTTTTTCGTGAAATTAATTCGTGGTAAGCAGGAGGACTAATTATTAAGAGAAAGAGGTATATATAGGAGATCACTGACGACATGTTTAATAAGTTCGGAAACCATAATTATTCCATAAAAACCACAACCATGTGTCTCTATTAACGTGTACTGTAGGGATTCTTACGATGAAAAGTTGTACTAGTAAATATTTACAACTTCTGCCATTACGTCCATACTCATACCACTCGAATATATATATATATATATATATATTATTTTTTTGACAAACGAAAGGCTGATCTATTACTCAAACTTGAGGTGGTCTGGGAATCCATACCGGAATAGAACAACCAACATACATGAGCTCACGATAAAACGGGCAGTCTTAGCTAAATGATCGGACACAGCATTAAGAGATCTAGGTACATAAGTAATCTTGAAGTCTGGGAAGCAAATCCTCAACGTCGAGATCCTTTCCAGTTCCGTCGAAAAACTTGGCCATCCATGGGGGTTCTTTAGCATTTCTAACAAATTCTTACAATCCGTCTCAAAGCTGACATGGCGAATGTTGAAGCATGTTCTCCATTGCCCACCGCAGTGCTTCCAACTCAGAATGCAAGGCCGACTCCACTCTGCTAAAATTGCGCATCCCCATCAACTGGCTATCTCCCCTACTGTCCTTCCAGTCCCAGCCACAACCAGAAAATTGGTCAATAGAGGTCCAAGAACCATTTATCATGCAGATATCGCGTAGGCTTATGACCTGGCTTTCAGTATCGCCGATCACTTGTGTATTCTCGATTTTCTGCTCATTAGCTTGGTACCAGGCAAGACACTCACTCTCTGCATACCGGGCCAATTCCAGAGGATCCCTATCTATTCGTCTAAACAACTTATCATTCCGAGCCTTCCAAATGTACCATATTAACCAGGGATAATGATCCCTGTCTAATTCTGGTCCACATATGGCCTTCTTCCGCCAGAATAAATAGTCCATGTTTGCATATGTGCTCTCTAAGGGGAACAGAGATAAGCTGGTGGGTATAGATGCTAAGGCCCACACCTGTAATGCCGGCGGGCATTGGAAAATTGCATGTGCAATTGTTTCTTCCGGTTCACCGCATCGCGGGCAGAAGTTATCGCATCTCATGTGCCTATGATTCAGTGCACTCGTAACAGCAACCTGTCCCGATATAACCTGCCACATAAGATGGCACATCTTCGGGGGTGCTTTAACCTTCCAAACATGTGCTTGGAGTCTTTTGATACTAGGCTCATCAACCATACTCTCTTCCTCTTTCATTAATATATTACGAGCTACCCAATAGCCAGACTTGACTGTGTATTGCCCACTTCTTGTATAACTCCAGCAGTATGAGTCTCGTCGATGTGTTGAACTAATAGCCATGCCCCTTATGAGAGTCACGTCATCAGCGTCAACATAATTGGCCAGCCGATCCAGATCCCAAGTCTTTGTTTCTTGATTGATAAGGTCACTCACTCTCATGTTAGGATGCAGAACCGGAGCAGATGCTTGTGCTGGCCTTGCTGGGATTGTGGGAATCCATGGGTCCTCCCATACCTTAACTTCATAGCCAGAGTGAATTTTCTGTCTAACCCCCAAAAGTAACAATTCACGTGCTGCCGAAATGCTTGTCCACACATATGATGGGCTGCTAACACTAACCTTTCGCAAAGGCGAACTTAATCGATAATACCGACCTCTCATAACTCGAGCTACCAAGGAGTCTGGGTTGTGGGCCAATCTCCACAGCTGCTTTGCTAGCAATGCCAGATTAAACTCATGGATCATCCTAAAGCCAATTCCTCCTTCCTCTTTAGATAAACATAGTTTATCCCATGTTGTCCAGTGTAAGCCTCTCTTCGGTGGGTTTGAGCTCCACCAAAACTGTGCAATGGCACTAGCCAAGGCATCACATATCTCCAAAGGGAGTAAGAAGCAAGACATAACATAGGTCGGGAGAGCTAACATGATCGACTTTATCATTACTTCCTTTCCTCCTTTAGATAACCACCTGCCCGTCCAGCCGTTCACTCTATTCCGGAGCTTGTCTTTTAAGAAGGCAAAAAGCTTGCATTTCGATCCACTGATATCTTCTGGTATCCCTAGGTACGTCCTCATTCCTGCTTCACTTTGGATCCCAAGTGTATCTTTGATATCCTGTCTGGCTTCTTGACCAATCCGCTTACCAAAGAGTAGAGAAGATTTGTCAAAGTTAATGCATTGTCCAGAGGCTTGTCCATATTTCCTAACCGCCTTCATCACTTCATCACATTCACGGGGCTCCGCCTTGCAAAAGAAAAGGCTATCATCAGCAAAGAGTAGGTGGGATACCGATGGACACGCACGCGTAATGCGCATCCCCGTTATCTTTCCCTGACTCTCTGCATGATTAAGAAGGCTAACGAGCGCTTCCGTGCATAGAATAAAGATGAAAGGGGATAAAGGATCCCCTGTCGTAGACCTCTCTCCGGTACAATATTCCCTCGTGGCTGTCCATTCATAAGTACCTTGTACTTCACTGATGTTACGCATCGCATAATCCAAGTAATCCAAATTTCCGAGAATCCCATTTTCCTCATGGTTGCTTCGATGAAAGACCACTACATTCTATCATATGCCTTACTCATGTCTGTTTTTATTGCCATCCTCTTATTGCGTCCACTTGGCTTAGTTCGCAAAGCATGGAATAATTCCTGGGCAATCATTATGTTGTCTGATATCTGTCTCCCAGCAACAAAGGCTGACTGGGTTTCTGAAATCGTATCCGGAAGGACCTTTTTTAGTCTTTGGCATAAAACCTTGGAAATAATCTTGTAACAAACATTACACAAACTAATGGGTCGGAGCTGGCTCATCTGGTTTGGTTTATCAACTTTTGGGATAAGGCAGATATTAGTATCATATATATATATATATATATATATATATATATATATATATATATATATATATATATAGACTCGCACATTATTATGTATTAACGTGTATATATATTGTATGGAACATAGTTTTTATGATCAACATATTTTGAATTTATGCCCTTTTACAACAAAAAAACATATTTTGGATTTTACGGTTTATAAATTCATCAATCCGAGAATCATTAGTCAGATTTCTCTTTAGCTTAATATACAACTTTTATCTTCCAATTTAATAGTTTCAAAGGTCGAAACTAATCTCCGTACATGTACGTGATCTCGAGACTTAGTAGTTGATAAGAATATTACAAATTACAATTAATCCCTCGATATAGAAATTAAAACCAAAACAAACTCGTTACATTAACTAATATAACACTAAAAGGGTGTATTAAATCTGAAAGGATTTGAAAAACAAATGTCTTTTATATGTTTGTAGGTGAATTGGAAAATTTGGTGCGATTTTTGTTAAATCGCTCTAGAATCTCATATAAAACTAAAAAAAAAAAAAAACTATGAGATTTTATTTTTATTTTTATAACTAAGAAAGTCCTCTCAAACATTATACAAACACTCTTAAAACTCTAATCTAGCCTTTGTTTAGTAACAACATATTTCAAAGAATTCTTGGTGAAAGCTTTCGTCCTTTAATCTATTTTCATCTTATTTCTTTTATTTATTTTTAGTTATCTTGCTATCTAATCATAATTAGTATTGAAGCTTCTATGGTTTTAAGGTTTATCATGTTGATTAATGAATACTCTTTTTGAGTCTATGAGCTTGGTAGATTAGTATGATCGAGGGTGTGTATTATTAGATCATTCTTGTTCTATGCATATTTTGTGTGTTTTAATGTTAGTTTAGATTTGATCTCCCTAATTCTAGATCTTAGTCATTTTATGCATTGAAAATGTTTGAATCAAACTGATATTGTTCTTTGCTTATTTAACCAGTGGGAATGTGATGTTAGAGAAGCTTAAAAAGTTTAATAGACACACTTGCTTGTATTAGACCAAAGGGATATGATATTTATTGCTTGTTTAGTGTTTGGACTTGTAGAACTTGATTGATTGTTTGCATGAATACTCTAGATAAGATCTTGGTCACCGAAAGTCAATGTCATTTCCCATAGACTCCATTTATCATTCATTGAAAACTTGTTTTAGTTACTTGTCACTTGAAATTGAACCTTATTACTCCTTCCGTTTTAAAATATATGTCATTCTAGACTTATTTTTTGGTCACAAATTAAGTGTCGTTTTAGAGTTTCGAGGCAAAATTTATTAGTTTTATATAATATTCTATCTTTTTATTGGTTAAAAAGTGGTTTGGTGTATAGGTAATTGTGTTTTTATTTTGGAAATAGGTAAAATTAAATATTTCCTTAATTTGTGTGCAAAAACCTAGAATGACAAATAAAGTGAAACGGAGGGAGTACTTGTTATCACTTCATTTATTTGATTGTTTAGATTAATTAAATATCGTACATTCTCATTAATGAGAATTAGGTAGGATCTACATTAAGTTAGTTTTTATAGGTGTATAGACTAAGAGGTCAAAATTTCGGCAACGACAACTTTTTATAGAACACCAACAATTATTTTCTTCCGATGAGTTTTCTTGGCACATTCAAATATTCTCGCAAATTCATAAAAGCAATGGTAAACGAGTCTACATGAATGCTTGAGTCAGCACATGTTTCTCTATTTTCTGGAACGCAAATTGTTAATCTCAATGCACAAAATTTGTTTTGTGAATTTTAAATCACTAGAAATACCAGACTGGTAATTATTAATCAATCATCCACTATTATTTTCTTAAAGAGTCCTTTCCAATTATTGTATCGGACAGCATAAACGAATAAACTGATAGCTTTGTCTATTCTCTCTGACAATGAACTTTTTGAAGATATAAAGGCACATTATTTATCTCTTGAATTTCTAAAAGCGATTGCATTTGTTTTATTAAAACATCTTAAAACTAATTTATTGTTTTAAACGATTCATGTGGAAAAGAAGTTGTGTACTTAATATGCATACCAAAAAGAAGTAAGGGTTGAGAATTATGGTTTTGTGTTAAGAATATCAAAACTTTCATGTGGTTACTTCATACCTTTTAAACTCCTCACAAAAAGAACTATATTTCCCAAGTCTTCCAAAGATGCCTCGGAATTGAGAAAGTTCTTTGGAGTTCATATGCATAAAAAAATTGCATAAGCATATATGAAATTAAGATTTACTAATAATGCAAAAAATATTATATTATGCATAAAATCTAAGGCTTGGTAAACACAAATATTTTCGTTTGAAAAAAGAAAAATAGTAAACAAAAAACTTGCTTTGGAAAGATTCTAAACATTGAACAAGGAGGTGAAATGTGTGGTCCGCTAAAGCTATTGAGATTTGTAAACAAAAAAAAAAGATTACGTAAATTGCAATTCACAAATTTGCGTGTTTTTGTTGAATTCAAGACATATTTAATAAATTATTGAGTATACAAGCTCACTGATTTATTTTTGTGTAAGATTAATTACATGTAAGATTCAAGACATGAATTCAAGACACAAAGATTAATTTCATGTAAGATTCGTATCTTCGTTGTAATGCTTCACAACTACGTTTGTTTTCGTGTTACTCGCTGTTAATCTTTGTTAGCAATACTTTGAGCATAAATCTTTGGCCATTTACCCGGCTTCGAGCATAGTTTTTTTTGCATAATGTAGTTAGTATTGATTTTAGTTAGTATTCATTGTGAAACAGTTCCTGAACTTTTTCAAACTACAATTAAATCGAACATTAAAAAGTTTAGATAGGTAAAAACAAAACCATGTACTCTCCGTGTTCAACATTTTATTACTAAAAGAGAATACTCAATACTATATATACACATATTATATCGACTAAAAATAGGTTCCATCAGTAGATAAATCATTCCTGAGTTCCAACTTTAAGAAATTCAAATCTTTTTGCATCAATGTATATGTCAACATATATAGTATTTTCTCTTAGTTATTAAGAGGTACATATTACAAAACAACTGAACACGGACGGTAACGATACATGTTTTGTTAAATCAGTTAATGGGTAGTGGAGTGTATAACCTATGGTTTCGGTAATTTCCATAATTTGGAAATTGTGTATCTTCGTTAGAATCAACATTCACATGTGACATGTCCACACTTTGCATCCACGAAGACTTTCGCATCACTATTTTTTTTTGTGAGGTATTATTAATTTCCTCTATAAAAATATGCAAGTGTAATATTAGTCAAACCCTGATGTTCAGGCCTAGTTTCTTTACGTGGGTCGTAAAGCGAACACTAATCATATTATTAACGTTAGTACATGCCGCCATAATGGGCTTTACATACGAACGCTCTTTACATGGGGGTTTCTCAGTAATTACATTTATATACTCGCACCTTAAGCGTGTGTGAAACAAACGAATATTGCTACCGTTTGGTGAAATGGCAATGCTACTCAGTACTCGCTTTCGTTAAACCTCCACAAGGGTTTTCTTATTGGGTTAAAGTGTGTTAACAGTTAGACGAGAAATGATTAATTAAAGAGATGTATTCGAATTTGCAGTGATACTGGAACTGGAATGATTATGAGACAAGGAATAAATTATAGACTCTCTTGGAAGTTGGAACCATTGCTCGGAGTGGTACTTCCAAATTCTTGAAGGCTCTCAAGGTTTTTGTTTCATCTTTGCCAGCAAATTAATCTTGACGTGAAGTTTATAGACTCATTGGTTTGATATCTGTCTTTTTGTTCAAGAGAACAAGGATCTGTTGGTGATGACATGGTTTGATAGGACAGTTTGGTGTTGGATTTTACTCTGCTTTCTTAGTTTCTGAAGAGGTAAAAAAATTTTCAACTTCTGTTCCTTTGGTGTCTTCTAATAACTTACTCTATCTCTGAAGAGGACTGGACTTATACTTTTCTCTTGGTTTTAGGTTGTTGTGTCAACCAAAAGCCCCAAATCTGATAAACAACATGTTTGGGAATCGGTGGCTAACAGTAGCTCATATGTTATCTAAGGAAGGAGAAGAAGAGAAAGAGGTTGAATCTTGTGTGTTCTTTCAAATTTTTTATATGCTTCTCTTGTTGACTGAGATGACCTTGTTACTTGTTTGATTCCAGGGTGAGCCCAAAAAGACGAAGAAGACTATTAAAACTGAGAAGTACTAGGATTGGGAAGTAGCCAATGAAACAGAACCTTTATGGTTAGCCGTGAAGCTTGTTAACGTGCGTTTTGTCTTCTTGTTTAACATGCTCACTTGTTTGTGGTTTTGTCTCTCAGTAGAAGTGGAGAAAGAGTCTCTCAATGACTTTTAAAAGTGCAAACTCTGATCCTTTCTTGAATAAAACTAATTCAGAAAGATATCTAGGCACATGATTCAAGATTAGTTTTTTTTTTAACTTGCAAACTTCTTGATTCTGATTTGGTTTTCACTGATGATAGGCTCTATACTTGGTTGAACTAATCGATGAAGTTGCAATTCAGAACTTACAAACCTACAAAGAAAAGAAGTTGTTGATATCAGCAAAGAAGATTTGGAACTTGGTAAGCAATTTTTAGCAGTTCTTGTGCAATCAGTGTGAGACTTTGTTTTTGTAACACTAATTAGGACAGATGATGAAGATGAAGCAAAAGAAAGGGAAGATAAACAAGAGTTCAATCTTCTGTGTGATTGGATGAAGCAGCAGCTTGGTTACAGAGTTTCAAAAGTTTAAGTCTCAAACCGTTTGAGCTCTTCTCCTTGTGTACTTGTCTCAGGCAAATTTGTTTGGTTCGGCTAATATGAAAAGTTAGTACTTTCATGAGAGGAGAGGTAGGAGAATGATAGATCAATCCAGATCATCCTTTCATGAAAGACTTGCATGTAAGTGTGATGTATCCAAGTTGAAAAAGAAGGTAGTTCAAGTTTGGATGAAGGAGATGAGAAATAGGTAAAAGCAGAAGTAGGTGAACCATCTGAAGAGAGTGATCCCATGGCAAGATTGATACAAACCTTTGTCATGTTTTCTGCAATGAACTTTTTGACACAAGATGCTTGTTTTACAACTAGGATTGTCTTTTTGTGTGTATTTGGGATAGGAGTATCATGGACCTTATTAAAGCCCATTATTGGATCATGTAAGTGAGAGTTGTAAGATTTTCATAATAATAAAATATCTTTAATATTTGCTATTGAAGCAGATATATTCCTCGCAGTTTCAATTTCTTTAGATGATATTTTCATGCATGTTAATTGTTAATACTTAATACTAAGTGAGAGCTTGGTTGTTTGGTATGATACATTTTGATTTGTCCGGTCAAACCCTTCCAAAACCAAAATCAAAACCCACCACACCTTTTTTTTTGTAACATCCCCCCCACACTTTGTTATTAATGAAATTTAAGATATGTAAATCAAATCATTTTTTTTTCAAAAAAAACATCAGTGACTTAAAAAAAGAGTTATTCTTGGGTTTACCCTCTAGAGAGTAAACCTCTAGGTTCATCAACCAATAGGATGGTGTTATTTCATATTTGATATTTAAAAAAAAAATCTTATTAAGTTATATTATGTTTTTAAAATAAAAATACTAAAAATAAATAAAAATAATAATATTTACAAAAGATGAAAATTCTTTAAAAAAAATATTTTAACACTAAAACACTAAACTCTAAATCATAATCCTAAACCATTGGGTAAATCATAAATCATTTGGAAAAATCTTAAATACTAAATCAAAAACATTAATACTAACCAATTATACTGTTTTTTATTTTTTTTTTTATTTTTTTTTATTTTAAAAACATAATATAATGTAATAATATTTATTTTTCATTTTAAAGATATATTAAAAGATTTTTTAAAATTGTTTTTTTGCAGTTATTACTGTTTTTATTTTATTTTTATCTTTTTATTTTAAAACCATAATATAATGTTAAACTATTTTTTTAAAGATTTTTTTCTGTTTTTTAAATATTATTATTATTTTCTATTTTTATTTTAAAAACATAATATGATTTAAGAAGATTTTGTTTCCTTTTTTAAATAATATCAAATATAAAATAACACTATCTTATTTTTGTGGGTGAACCCAAGAATAAGTCGAAAAAACAATAATTTCAGTTTTATAAATTACCATATAAGACATATTCAAGTAAGATTTTGTTTATTCTTGAGACTCTAGATACGGAATGGAATATCACTCGTTTAGAAACAAATTACTATTATAAAGGTATCTTTTACCAGCCATTTATTTTCCCTTTTAATCTTGGCAACAATATATTTGTTAACCAATATACTTATCCCCTCATTACCTTCTATAAATCATATATTTTTGCACTCTCTTGAGCTATCAACACCATCCCCAAAACAAATGGAGTCTAAAGCATGCACTCTCTTGTTCATTCCACTAATTCTTACATGTAAGTCTATTCTCATCTCTTAATCCCTGATTTACAAACTAAATCTTATAAGTCAATTTGGTTTATTGATGTGTTGATATTAGGTATGAGATCAGTGAGCATACCTAAAGCCGAAGCAAACTACGTAAGGTACCATAGCTGCAATACTGTAAAAGACTGCATTAAAGATATAGATTGTCTGATTGCACCGGTTCAATGTTTAGACTCACGGTGTACATGTATTCTAAGTTCAACACTCTCAAGCAGAAAAAACTTTAACCTTAAACCAGCAGAGACGCCATTAGGGTGCAAGAAAGCAAGTGATTGTGAAGATAAGCTCATTTGCGTTTCCGGAAAGTTTGTCTGTGAAAATTCACAATGTCACTGCTTAGATGGTTAGAAAATTGAAAAGTTTTATGTTTTTTTGGGTGGGCCAAAAGTGTTATGTTATTTATGAATAGAAATATCTTATACAATTGGTATGAACAATATGGAAAGAATATAGACATATGATACAGAGTACTTTTTTAAAGTTGAAAGATAAAAATGAATAGGGCAATCTCCATAATAAGCCCTTTAAAAGTTTTTATCCCCAAAATAGCACCAGAAGGGAAAAATCACAGAAATGACATTCATTATTGAGCAAAATGTTTCTAATACCCTCACTAAATAAAACAGCTAATAAAAAAAAAAGACTTTTGGCTTTCTCTTATCTCTCTCGTCATCTATAACGTAATCTCTCTGGCGAAGGACGAAATCTCTAGCGAAGACGAAATCTCCGCCTCTCGAATCTCTCTTGTCTCACCCAAACCTTAACTCTATCTCTGGATGCATTCACAGCGATTTGGATCCTCTGCTCTTCTTCACTATCACCTTTGCCGTCTCTCGCTTCTTCTTCTCTTCGTTTCTCTTCTCGATTCTTCTTCCACCAGAGCTTTTTCATCTCTGCATATTCAACTTAGTGTAGAGATGGAGAATGTAAGGAGAAAGAAAGAGCATTACTCAACCTAGTTCTTTGAAATCTTCTTCCATTGCTAAGGTCCGATTCCTATGTTAATTTTACCTTAGATTATTATTATTTTTTAATTTATGAAGGATGCTAAATCCGCTTTGCTATGTGTTTGTGAGTGCAGAATCATGACTTCCCAGTGACAGGTGAAGCAAATCACCGATTCTTCTCGTTCCGGTGGTGAAAAAGTCTTGTATTGTCATCAATGGAATCAAACTCACTAAGGTACAATCTCTTCTAGTTTTCTCCTTCTTTTCGTTATTATTATTCGATACAAAGTTGTGTGGTGATGTTTGATGTTGTAACATATTGGGGTAATTTGTGACATAGACGTCTCCAAAGTCACTGAAGTTAGTTTCTCTCTTGCCTCAGCTTCATAGATCCACCGTGTTTTAGCTCCGTCGGTGCTTGTACCTTTTCAGCGATGAGTTCATTCAGAGACAACCTTCCTCTCGAGCTGGAAATCTAAGGTATGTTTGTCTCCACTCTCGTTTTATTCATATATAGAAGCGAGCAAGCTCATTCATATGTTAGTGAGAGCTGAGCGAGCTCTATCTCTTTGAGGTATGTTGCAGATTCAAGCTTTTGTGTGTTTCTTTGTGGTTTAAGGCTGAGTAATGAGTTTTTATGTCTGATTTCTTATATTTGATGGGTGATTTATTATATTTGATGGTTGAGTAATGCGGACATTAATAGCTGAGTTATGTGTTTTTTGTTGGCCAAATTATTTATTTGATGACTGAGTTTAGTATTATTTTGGTGGCTAAGTTTAATTATAACCTGGTGTTGCAGGTGCGTGTGAGGAGAATGGTTTTAAAGGACTCAATTGAAGAGATGTTTCCTAAATGGCTGGGTGAACCTGATTACCCACGAGTGGTTAAGTTGATAACATACATAAATGTAGGTAGGTTTGTGAAAGGTTTTTGGGAAACGCAGGGGAATGGAGAGGGGAAGGGGAATGAGAAGAAGAAGAAAATGAAGGGTGGAGTTTCGTCAGAAGCTGAGACACCCACTAAGAAGCTGAGACACCCACTAAGAAGCAGAAGAAAGTTAAGACACAGATGATGTTGCAACGAAAAAAGGTTCTAGCGAGGAGGAAAGTATCACAGATTAGATAACAAAGCGACTATGACAACCATTGTAAATACTCTGGAGAATATTTCCAAAAATATTGATCAGATTGACTCACGATTTAACGCTTACGAGTTAGACCGGAACACACCATTGATGAACCAGAAGACCAATGATGTCATGGTGAATGCTTTATCGGATGAGCGTCTGAAAGTTATGGAGGTAGGGAATATTCCCATAAACAATGATAACCTCTCAAACGTTTATCAAGAAAAATCTTTTTTGTTGGCATTACCCCAGCTGATGTCTGTCTTGAGTCCAGTGTTAGCTTAGACTCCTGGTAAGACTCATGGTAAGACTCCTGATAAGACTCCTGGTAAGACTACTGGTTAGGTTTTAGGACCGAAACAAAATAAAGATACAAGCACTACAAGAAATAAGGGTTTTAATAGCACTAGCGGATAGCGTTTTTTGTCTTTATGCTATGGGTTATATACCCCATATTTTTAGATAGCGTTTGCATTTTTGCAAACGCTATGTTTTCTTAGTCCGATTTTAATTCTACAAATGCTTTTTTGAAACGTAGTATACATAGCACTTTCAGTTTTGAAACGCTATGTATAATTAAAGCGGGAAAATAAATTATTTTCCCTCTCATCTTTGTTTCTTTTCCCTCTTACTCCATTTCCAAAATTCCTAAACCCTAAACTCTAAACCCTAAATTTTAAACACAACCCCTAAACTCCAAACAAAAACTTTAAACTCTAAATTTTTAATATCAAATATTAAATATAACATCAAATCTTAAATATAAAACTCAAAATTAATCTTTTTCAAAAATTAATCTCAAATCTTATATTAAAACATCAAACCTTCAACCCTCAAACCGTAACTAATCATAAATTAATCACATAGTCTAAACCTAATTATAAATCTTTAAAAAAAACTAATATTTGGTGTTTTATCGACGGATCATGGAAAGATAAGGACGAGTTTGATGGACAGGGTTGGTACAGTACACTTGAAGGATTTGAAGGACTCATGGGAGCACGTACTGTCAGGGCAAGTATATCTCCTCTACATTCGGAGATCGAAGCACTTATATGGGCAATGGAGAGTATGAAGAATTTGCGTCAATATTGTGTCACATTTGCCACAGATTGTTCCCAATTGGTGAAGATGGTTTCGGAACCAGAGGAATGGCCAGCATTTGCAAGCTATTTGGAAGATATCAAGTTGCTTCGAGGGAGTTTCCACAGCTCAGCAATCATCCATGTATCAAGAACTTTGAATTCAAGGGCGGATAGTCTGGCACGGAGTGCGAGAACACAAGCGTCTTTCGTTGTTCACATGGATACAGAGCTGCCGGTTTGGTTTACAGAGTCTAGATGAGTCTGTCTGTTTTGTTGATGTCAAAAAAAAAAAAAAAAAANTCGAGGGAGTTTCCACAGCTCAGCAATCATCCATGTATCAAGAACTTTGAATTCAAGGGCGGATAGTCTGGCACGGAGTGCGAGAACACAAGCGTCTTTCGTTGTTCACATGGATACAGAGCTGCCGGTTTGGTTTACAGAGTCTAGATGAGTCTGTCTGTTTTGTTGATGTCAAAAAAAAAAAAAAAAAAAAAAAAACTAATATTTTTATAATTTAATTTCAAATCCTAAATTTATTTTCAAAGTCTAATCTTAAATCTAAACCCAGATCACTATATACCAAACTCTAAACTCAATAATCATTTTGTTAAATCTTATATTATTAATTTTATTTAACTTAAGACTAATATTCAAATCTTTAACCCTCAATTCCTGTACTCATACTTTATTCTAAATTTCAAAGTTTAAACTAACCTCTCATAACTTTTCAAACTTAAAATGCGTCAAAATGAATTTTTATACAATTGCCATTAAAAATGAAATCTAATCACTTTGCTAAAGTTATATATCGTCGACATTATAAATATAAATCTACTAAATATACACACATACCTTAAAATCTTCAAGGAACCTTTTTACACTAGTAGAAAATGTAAACTACACACCGAAACACCAAATCTAGTATTTTCATAGTTTAATCTTAAATCTAATTACCATAAATTCCATACTACAAACTTTATATTTTATAAACATTAGACCTTATAAGTTAATAGAAACTCCAAATAATAAATCAAACTCCAACTTTTTAAATTAATATATGTTTAATATAAACAAACTTTAAGAAAAACAATTATGTATATTAAAGAAAAAGGAAAAGTTTTCGAAGAAAAAGAAAAAAAGGGTTTTTTCTATTGGTTAATTCTGAATCACGCGGATTGCCAATACATGCCTTTATATTAGTTTAATCGAACGAACACAATTCATTTGTGTTCCTTTTTGTTTCATTTTTTGTCTTCTTCTCTACGAGAGCTCTCTCTCTCTCTCTCTCTCTCTCTCTCTCTCTCTCTCTCTCTCTCTCTCTCTCTCTCTCTTTCTCTCTTACATCTTCTCCTTTGAATCTTCTCTGTTAATCTTTTCTCTTCTTCTCAACTATTTTTCTCTTGAAGATTGTATGTTGAGTTTGATTTTGCAATCCTCTTCGTCTCCGCCTCCGGCGCCTTCAACTCCGGGCTCCACCTTCGACTCCGGACTCTGGTATAATGTACTTCTGTAGTTGATAGGAATAAGATGTGGTTTGCAACAAAGTAAGAGGTTATGATTTTTTAAGTTGAGATTTTGATTGAGTCCCTGCTGTTTTTCTTAAACTTCTTTTCAAGACTAACTTGATGTTTGCTTGAGGACAAGCAAAAGGTTAAGTCTGGGGGAGTTGATATACCATGATTTTGACCCGCTTTTGGTCATATTTTCTATATATTTTTATTATATTTATCTATGTTTTGGAGTCTATTAGGTATGTTTTCAGGTTCAGGAGCATTTTTTCGTAAAGTGATGATTTAGGTGCCTTATGGAGCTTAAAGGAGAGTTTTACAAGTTGACTATGAAGATCCGACATTGAGAGACACATATCGATCGATACACACCTTGTGTAATCGATCGATGACGATTCCGTAGAAGTTGAAGTCGAGATACTCCATCGATCGATGTACACAATGTACCATCGATCGATACAGAGCGTGATGAGCAAGGTTTACTTGGCCAACTTGAAGCCCAAGTTCTCACCAAATTACAAGATTTCCCCTGACGAGTTTTTAACCTAATTGTACTCTGTATTTATAACTATGCCTATGAGCCTTAAAAAGAGAGGAAGTTTTGAGACAAGAGTTTTGTATTCTATTTTATACTTAGCAATAAAAGCATTTTCTTTTCATCTTATTCTTTTGCTATGAA